CACGTTTAATACATAAAAAACAGTTAAATTTGCAGTGGTTTTTTTCATCGCTTTTAAAATTTGCTCTAAAAACTCATATTTAAAATATCATTTGAGCATAAAAAAGAACATTTTAAAGTTAAAAATATACAAAATAACCTCTAATACACTACGAAATTAAAACACCTACTCACCCACATTCTCCTTTCTCTGCATTTCCATTGCTTGCTTCGTTATTATTGTCTTTATCCATTGAACACGATCGTAAAAATTATAAAAAAGTAATCCAGAGAAGAAAAGATTATGTTAAATTGCGAAGTGTTCTTTTCTACTTTAATGATGCTACGCAATTAGATCGACAGAATTTACAATGTTCTAAATAATAGCAGCATCATTTGAATAAGTTTTTAATTTTCTGCAAAAGATCCGATAATAAAACCAATGTGTATCACTAGAAAAAGCTAGATTCTTCCAAAATAACAACTGTAAAAAAAAAAAAATGATTTAAAAACAATTTTAACTTCTCTTATTAAATATTTGAAAATTGTGTGAATAACAGTAACGTTTACATCTTTCACATCTAGAATGATATATCTCGCTTTTCAACCAATCCAGCATAAAATATAATAATTGCAATCTATTTGCAGTCTGAAGTAGTCATATTGCACCCACACAATGGAAAATGTACTTGATAAATAAAATATATCTAACAGCTACACGTTTTCGGCGATTGGAAACAAAAATAAATGTGCACGTTATGCGGCTATGCCAATTTCAAAAAGTTAACTATGGTGCAAAAATGTTGCTCCATTCATTCCAATACACCTAGCAATTTAAAAAAGTTTATAAAGAATTGTTAGGCATTAAATGATCAAAATATTTGGAAAAATTATTAAAAGCGCTTTCAAAAATAATTAACCAATAGTATATTAAAATGTAACCTCAGACTTTAATATGTATAAAATTTGCTTCTTCATTTATGTGTCATATTTTAAAGTAGCAAATGGTGGTGTTTAAAATTCTGGGAAAAATTAAAAGAATTGAGATTATTTTACATCCTTTTACGACAATTTCTGTATTGAAGAAATCATATATTATAACTTTGATGGAATGTCCCATGGAACATATGCTTCAGTTGATAAGAATGAGTAAATGTCCGGACAGTCCGATGCATAGCTCTAGCATTGAATGCACCGATCTTTCACTTACTGCTTTTGCCAGACTTGTTGATTACTACACCTTTTCTCAAAGAATGGGAAAGACTGTGAGACTACTGTGTTAAAAAATACAAGACTTCTAAATCTTTAAATTCATCTCACATATTTTATTAAAAATCATATTGCTCGCATTAGAACGGACTACCGCACCCATAGGGATTTCTCCTTTGCACTGTTTGTTGATATTTTCTGAAATAATTCACTCGTTGGTTTATTGAATTCAGAAATTTTAAATTATTAGTCATGGCACTAATTTTCTTTCGAAAGTTCTGTTTTTAACGGCTCAGTGAAATTTCTCTTCAAAATGAAATTAAGGAAATCTGGCAATGACTGTTTGTTGTGAAAAATTTTTTTTTAAGTTTGTTTTGCTGTTATAAAGTATGTTGCGTTATGATGCATGTGTGAATAGGAGAAGTTCTTGATGTTTGAATCTCTAAATTAAACGATATGATTGACAACAAATTTTCTGTGATGAAATTTATATCAAGACATAAACTGTTATTTGTCTGCTTAATAGTCGCCTGGATTATAGGCATGATTATCACAGGTTTATTTTTAATTACAACTTTAAGATGCCTACTCAGGGGATTCTTCCTTTCTCTTTATATCAAGAGAAGATTATTGCTTAAGATTAAACATATATATATATATATTATTTAAATTACATTTTCTAAAGCTGGCATATTCTTGAGTTTAAAATTATTTTCTTAGGTATTTAAATTGTATTTACTATCGGAAAATATTCTGTTTCAGCCGTCTGAACCCCATATTTTTATTTTTTAAACTACGGGTGTAATAATGTCACACCATCCTTATTATCTGTCTCTACCAGCTTTATTATTATGTTAGAAAACCTTTTACAAATCTTCTTGTATGGTATTATTTGCAGGGGATAGAGAGGCGTTTTGTAAACAGTTTTCACATTTTAAACTGTTTCTTGATTCTGGCATGAACTAAACAAACAAACAAAAAATGGTTTATACCTTTTTTCTCTTCTAAGCAGTTTTTTTTATGAAGAATTTCTAAATTCTGTGATCTTAAAAAAATGGGTTAATCTTTGAATTTAGAATTGTTTGTTGAGGAGAATATCAGCACATGTGTATAAAAGATCTATATAACAAATACCTTTTTATAATATCATATTTATTTCCGTACCGATACGTGAAGGTTACATTATTTATTTCATAATGCTATGTTTAATTCAAATTTAAATGAAGCACTTTAAATTAAGAAAAATATTAACAGCATTTATTGTTCAAATGTTATGAAAAAGAGTGAACATAATACTCGTGCTGTACTTAGTGTTGGTCTGTTCTCAGTTATTAAAGTAAACAACACTTATCAACATCACTTGCATGCAGGTTCATTCTGCTTCTAGTTCTTGTGAACTTAAAGCTTAATCATTTGTCAGTAACAAAAAAGTCATCAGTGAAAACAAGTCTAGAAAAGGCAATATATTGGAATTAGAGAAACTAGATTTTATGTTACTTACTGAGAATACTTTATAATATGCTATCAAATACAGCTAAGAAACCTCTTGAATCAGTTCTTTTACCATGCTTAGTTGTCAGTTAAGCACTAAATGAAGTTTTGAGTCACTGGTATATAATGGTTGAAGGCAGTATGAATAGTGGGATGGAAAAAATAAGAATACTATACAATTTTCATGTCAAAACAAAATTAGGTTGATCTTTACAATATGGTAACTGGTAGTTTGGCGACATTTTGGAGGCGATAAAGGCTACTACCTGGGACTTTGGTAATAATGTGAGCAGTACTCAGTTCCGATTACGCATTATTTTGCGTGAGGGAAATGAGAGATCATGGGATATGTCATGTGATATTAATGGACGAATTACGGTTCTTTAATCGGAAAAGGGGGGAAATCAGGAAAAAATATGGAAATTTTGTATTTAGCTTTATACTGTGTTGTGTGAACAGTGTTGTTTAATTTTTGGATCCCATGGCCCTAACTAAAGTTAATTCGAAATGGGTATTTAGGCATTGTGATAAGAGAAGTTTGCTTTTTATTTAGCGGAGGAAGTATGGAGGAAAAATTCGCAGAAAAACTCTTTCAATAATTTTATTGAATGAATTAGAAAAGTGTATCCGCCACGTAATCAAGATTCTGAAGAAGATTAGGTAAGTTAGTATTTTAATTATTTGTGGATTTATTTTTATGCATTGTTCTAAATGTAAGGTGGAACGGAATTTGATATTATTGGGAAAATTGTTTATTAGCAATGATTTAGGTTTAAAGTAATTAGGATTGTAAGGTAATTTTTATTAATTTAATGTATGTGCTCTTATATTTTAGTAGTGGTTTTGAATTTAATTATATTTTAATGAAATTATCGTTATTTTGTGAATTTTATGGTTGTAGGAATTGGGATACGTTTAAGTTGGAAATAAACGTGCATGGAAATAATTTAAATATTTGATACTAAGTATTTGTATGCTTGCGTATGAATTTTGGTGACGTGTATAATGTATAGATGATTTAGAGTAAAAGTTTTTGGATATTTTATTTTTATATGTGGAAATGTTCATATTTGTAAAGGGTAAATACTTTTCGCGATCAGGTAATTTCATATATGTTTTTTACGGGTTTAAAGATTGAGAAAATTGTCATGTATTTTCGTAAAATTTTTCTAATTTATGAGAAAAAAGCAGTGTACATGGATATAGTGAAGAGTGTGCGCAATGCCATTTTTGTGCAATTCTGGGATGTTTTTTTAAGTAAAAATAAGTCGGCTGTACATGGTTTAGTGATATTTAATTAAATGATAGTTATTTTGTGAATTTTATGTTTGTAGGAATTTGGTATACGTTTAAGTTGAAATAAACGTGCATGGAAATAATTTAAATATTTGATACTAAGTATTTGTAATGCTTGCGGTATGAATTCATTGGTGACGTGTATAATGTATAGATGATTTAGAGGTAAAAGTTTTTGGATATTTTATTTATTTTATATGTGGAAATGTTCATATTTGTAAAGGGTAAATACTTTTTTTCCGCGATCAGGTAATTTCATATATGTTCTTTTTACCGGGTTTAAAGATTGAGAAAATTGTCATCTATTTTCGTGAAATTTTTCTAATTTATGAGAAAAAAAGCAGTGTACATGGAATAGTGAAAAAGCCATTTTTGTGCAATTCTGGATGTTTTTTAAGTAAAAATAGTCACATGTACATGGTTTATGTGTATGTGTTATTTTGAAAAACGCGTAAGGAGTATGGTTGTGCACTTTTTCCCAATTTTGCAGTGAATATTTGTCATGATTAAGCAGTTTTTGTGTGATAAAATTTCTAGCATAAGTGTATTCGGCTAGTAGATTGTTGGAAGAAGTGTTCAGTAGATAAGAAGAAAAAAACATGTCTTTACTTCGTGAAGACAAAATGGGGGCGGGGAAAAAAAATAGAGGGTTGCTGTAGGAGAGTTGGTTGCCAAATTTTCGCCAAAAAATCGCCAAGTTACCATAATGTAAAGATCAACCCAAAATTATTTTGAAGTTTGCCTGGTTGTCAACAGGCAGTGAAATTACTTTCTGTTGAACAAGAATATTTTTTGGAGTGTTTCTTAGCTTCAAGAATATTTTTTGGAGTGTTTCTTAGCTTCAAGAATATTTTTTGGAGTGTTTCTTAGCTTCAAAAATATTTTTTGGAGTGTTTCTTAGCTTCTAAAAATTATTTGCTATTATGCATCCAATTGGATATACAAGGTCCATACTTTCAGAAGGTGTTTCTTAGAAAAAAATCTTTGTATATTTTTTAAGAAAAATGAATATAAGTAGAACAGTGTTCTCTAATGTATTTAGAATGTAACAAGTTCACTATTTTTTTCTTTTGAAATTGTTTGTCCAATTTGCTTTTCTAGGAGCTTGTACCACTATTTTAAATCCAGTTTCATTAAAATTATATATATTTACATCATAGCAAGAGTTTTCAGTGCATGGGAGTAACTGAAGACTTTGTGCCCTTTTCTGTTTGCGAAGAATGGAAAGCATTTAATTCTAAAATTTCATAATATTAGTTTGCTACCCTTTATATGCTGAACCCGAAGGCAAATGTCCCTCCTCACTTCCCCTCTAACTAGGCCGCTGATTTGCATATGAAAATTTGTATTTGTTTAACCCTTTCTCAAAAAGATTATTATCTTTATTCAAGAAGTTTATAGCATTTGTTTTATTGAGTCCCAAGACTCTATTAAGCGTAAAATTTCAGGTTTTCTTAATGATAAGATGCAATATAGCACTTTAAGTCAATTCCAGCAGATTTTTTTCCTCCTTTCAACTGAAATAAAAAAAAAAAAAAAATTAGATGTTTAACATATTTGCTATTTTGGAAGTTAATCCATATTGCGTTTTTAAATATTTTTTAGCTATTTTTCTGTGAGGATTTTAATCAGTTTGTGAATACTTGCCAAGCTCCATTTTTTTTTTTTTGGTTGATCTTTACATTATGGTAACTTGGCATTTTTTTGGCGAAAATTTGGCGACCAACTCTCCTACAGCAGCCCTCTATTTTTTTTTCCGCGCCATTTTGTCTTCACGAAGTAAAGACATGTTTCTTTTCTTCTTATCTACTGAACACTTCTCCAACAATCTATGCCGATTACACTTATGCTAAATTTTATCTAACAAACTGTTAATCACAAAATTCACTGCAAAATGAGAGAAAAGTGCACAATACCATACTCCTTAGCTTTTTTCAAATAACACATACACATAAACCAGTACACGCCGACTTTTTTTTACTTAAAATACATCCCAATTGTGCACACTCTTCACTATATCCATGTACACTGCTTTTTTCTCATAATTAGAAAAATTTCACGAAAATACATGACAATTTTCTCAATCTTAACCCGGTAAAAAGAACATATATGAAATTACCTGATCGCGAAAAAAATGAACATTCCACATATAAATAAATAAATATCCAAAACTTTTACATCTAATCATCTATTACATTATACACGTACCAACGAATTCATACCGCAAGCATTACAAATACTTAGTATCAAATATTTAAATTATTTTCCATGCACGTTTACTTCAACTTAAACATATACCAAATTCCTACAACTAAAATTCACAAAATAACTATCATTTAATTAAATATCACTAACCATGTACATGCCGACTTATTTTTACTTAAAAAAACATCCCAGAATTGCACAAAAATGGCATTGCGCACACTCTTCACTATATCCTTACACTGCTTTTTTCTCTTACTTAGAAAAATTTCACGAAAATACATGACAATTTTCTCAATCTTTAAACCCGGTAAAAAGAACATATATGAAATTACCTGATCTGAAAAAGTATTTACCCTTTCCAAATATGAACATTTCCACATATAAAATAAATAAATCCAAAACGTTTACCTCAAATATCTATTACATTATACACGTCACCAACGAATTCATACCGCAACCATTACAAATACTTAGTGTCAGATATTTAAATTATTCCATGCACGTTTACTTCAACTAAAACGTATACCAAATTCCTACAAACATAAAATTCACAAAATAACTATC